CTTGGATCTTTTCCAGGATTTGGCTAAGAGTGAAAATCTGGTCTATGGTGGATTTGCCAGGTCTGAAGCCGCATTGGTATGGTCCAATAATGTCATTGACCATTGGCTTCAGTCGTTCACACAACACGCTGGAAAACACTTTATACGCGATGGGAAGGAGACTGATTCCTCTATAGTTCCTCTATATCGTCTTGTCTCCTTTTTTGTGAACGGGACACAGGATGCTGAGGTTCCAATCGTTGGGCATACATTCCTCTAGCCAACTGATGCATGTTCCTAATCAGCTTTTGACCACCGGTCTTGAATAGTTCGGCTGGCAAACCATCGGCACCTGCTGCTTTGTTATTCTTCAGCCGATTGATTACTATTCTATATACCGTCATCTCTTATTGGTTCTGGGGTATCTTCTTCACCGTCATTATTTGATACCAGAAGCTTTGCAAAATGCTCCTTCCAGATCCTCAGCACGCTATCTGCATCTGTCACCAGATTTCCTTCTTCATCTCTACAGGAGGATGTGCCTGCACCAAAGCCTTCGGTTTGGTGTTTTTCTCGTTGGTAAAATTTCCGGACTTCATTCTGACTCCTGTACATCTCGATTTGCTCGCGCTCACGTTTTTCTTGTTCTTTCTTCTTTTTTCTGAAAATACGTTTCTCCTCCCTCCTTTTTTCCCGATAATTCTCTCTTGCATTACGTGTTGCTACTGTCTGCAGGGTTGCTCTATACGCTGTGTTTTTCTCGTCAGTAGCATTACGACACTCCTTATCCTGAAAATTATGTCGTTGGTATTATGTCTTTGTGCATTTATTTGTAAATGGTGAAGTAAGCGTGTTTTTTTTTTTTGTGAACGGAATGCAGGTCGCATTTTTTATCCGATTGAGATGAAATTTTCCAAGCAATATTTGTTTGGTGCAAGGAGAACCCTATTGAAATTGGTGAGAATTGGTTCAAATATAGATATAGCTCCGATATATATCTTCAATTGATTTCGGGTAAATTGTGCAACAAATGGCTAAAATCAGTCCAAATGCTATAGCTAAAGCTATAGCTCCCATATATATTTTTCATCCGATTTGAAGTTTAAAATCCCTCACAACAGATACTGCTCGAAAATACCTCTGCCAAATTGTATAGAGTTTGTTTCAGATTTTATATATTTTCAATATACCTTTTCTCAACCGTTATTTACCATTTAGTGAAACTCGGTGAGGTATATATATTGCTATAATAAATAATTTTTAATATAATCATTATCGAATTCATATCATGCACAATACAGGTTGAGATAAAAATCTGCAACAAAATCAAACGCCGTAATTTTTATTATTATTATTTATTTTTTTTTTTTTGATTTTATTGAATGAAAGCAAAAAATGTCGGAAATAGCATCAAATTTTAGAATAAGTTTGGATTTGTTTGAATTGGTCATCTTTGGCACGAACTATGGCCTTCAAACGCCAATGAAACCGTCACACGCTGACCGAATGTTGATCTGCGGTATTTTGGCCCATTCCAGGCGAACCGCTTACTTGAGGTGATCGACATTTTTAGTGCCAACTTGATTTCCAAAATACTCCAGACACAATAGTCAAACGCATTGGTATCCGGAGATTATGGTGGCCATTGTGCGATGGAAATGAAGCGAGGAACCTCATTTTGTAACCATACTTGGGTGGTGCGTGCTGAGTGCTATGGTGCTGAGTCCGTTGGAATATTGAAGGTCTGCGGTCAAAATGTCTGCTTGCCCAAGGCTTTAATACACTCTCCAAAAAATCTTTCGCGATAATATTCGGCAGTTATACGAGCGGAAAGCCACCATCGGCTGTTATGGGGCCCCACACCATCACCATTGCCGGCGCTTGAGTTCTGGTGGCCAAACGAAGGTGCACATTTTCAGCTGACCTCTTTGGCAAGTAAACACGATAATTTTCTTTGTTTACAAACTGCTGGACAACGAATGTTTTCTCATCGGAGAAAACCAAATTCGGTAGTTCACCATTTTCGGCCAAGCGAAGCAACTCTTTAGCTCTTTTGGGTCTACTTTCTTTCTGTTGCAGTGTAAGTTCATGCACTTTTTGGAATTCAATCGCTTTACCCCCATTTTTCAATATTTGCCGAATGGAATAATGCGATATGTTCAGCTCACAAGCCATTTTTCGACCACTGCGACGCGGGTTTCGATCAAGTCGCTTCTTTACTTTTCGAACCATTCCTGCTGATGTTGCTGTTCTCTTCCGTCCACTTCCCTGATGTCGGGCTACGCCACCAGTATCACGGTAACGAACGATGGTACGAGACACAAAAGATTTATTTCCTTTTAAATGCTGGAGTGCCCTAACTATAGCCACTTGTGGTTTTCCAGCCAAATATAAAGAAATCACACTATCACGGTTGAATTCCATCACGAATAACTTTTTTCTGGAAAATTCTCAACAAAATGCTTTTGTACGCTTGTAAACAATATAATGAGCTTTCCCTGGAATAATTTTAACAGCTGTCGGACGAGTGGCTGGGATATAACAGCAGTCTGAAATTGGTTGCAGTTGTTTCATCTTGTATTCTCCATCAACTGGCGATGAGTATGAAACATACAAATACTAAAATCTTTTTCAGCATTGGGTTAACATTGTATTCTAGGAGTTTAGTCAATCATTCTTAAATGTGCTAAGTGTTATGAACCTAAAAAGAATTCACAAGAAGGCGACGAATTCCATTGTAGATTACATAAAAAGTTTATAACTTGACTATCGAATAGGTCAAAATCTATACATGCATTTCCATTAGTCTTATAAAATCATTGGGTCATTGTAGGATATTTAACTCTCTAAATCGCATTTTTTTCATCATAATAAATTAAGTGGCAGTAGCCACTAGATTATAGTTAACAAGTGTAATTTTTGGCATCCGGTCACACAATATACACCTTTTGCTTTCATACCTATTCGAATACATCAACATAAAGCTTTTTACTAAAGATCGCCATCCAATCCATAATGCGCTCTTTCAACCTGTTCGTCATGTCTTTCTAAGGGATTGTTCTGTTTTTCTTCTTGCAATAACTGCGCAATTATGCTTTTCAAAAAGGTATTAAATCGAAATGTTCACTTAGCACGAAATTGTACAATACGCTGCATCAGAAAATCATTGTTTGCAAAATTGAAATTGGCAATAACGTTTAAGTAAAACTACATTAAAGTTCGCCTCTCTATGCTGCCTGTTTTTTTTTATACCCTACACCACAAGGTGGTCAGGGTATTATGTCTTTGTGCATTTGTTTGTAACAGCCAAAAGGAAACGAGATAGACCCATAGTTCCTTTTGATGATCTGCATAGAATCACATTCTGAGTCGATTTATGCATGTCCGTCCGTCCGTCTGTCCGTCCGTCCGTCCGTCTGTCCGTCCGTCCGTCCGTCCGTCTGTCCATGTATTTTTGTAAACAAAGTACAGGTCGCATTTATTGCCCGATCCAGATGAAAATTTGCACAGATCATTTGTTCGGCCCAAGGACGAACCCTATTGAAATTGGGGATAATCGGTCAAAATTTAGATATAGCTCCCATATATATCTTCGTCCGATTTGCCTTTTATTGTGCACCAAACGTGTAATATTAGCCTGAATAGTATGGAATTTTGCACAAATCATTTGTTAGGCCCAAGGACGAACCCTATTGAAATTGGAGATAATCAATCAAAATTTAGATATAGCTCCCATATATATCTTCGTCCGATTTGCCTTTTATTGTGCACCAAACGTGTAAAATCAGTCCGAATAGTATGGAATTTTGCACAAATTATTTGTTTGGCCCAAGGACGAACCCTATTGAAATTGGAGATAATCGGTCAAAATTTAGATATAGCTCCCATATATATCTTCGTCCGATTTGCCTTTTATTGTGCACCAAACGTGTAAAATCAGTCCGAATAGTATGGAATTTCGCATTTACGATCAGATTGGACCTCAAAATAAGTATGCCAAATTTGATCGAAATCGGTTCAGATATAGCTATAGCTCCCATATATATTGTTCATCCGATTTGTTATTTTTGTCCTCCGCAGCCGTAATATGCACTCTGTAACAACAATATTTAAATAAATTTATCAAATACAGCTCAGAAATACATTTGCTAAATTTTATCGAGATCGGTTCAGATTTGGATATAGCTCCCACATATAACTTCGTCCGATTTACATTGGATTGTGCACCAAACGTCTAATATTTGCCCAAATTGGATGAAATTTGGCACTTACAACCGAATTGAGTCTAGAAGCTAGTATGTCAAATTTAGTGAAGATCGGTTCAGATATAGCTATAGCTCCCATATATACTGTTCATCCGATTTGTTATATTTGTTACCCACAGCCGTAATATGCACCCCGTAACAACGATATTCAGGGAAATATATCAAATAGAGCTCAGAAATATCTTATTTTATCGAGATCGGTTCCGATTTGGATATAGCTCCCATATATATTTTTATCTGATTTCAGATTAATTGTGCACCAAATGGGCAATACAACTCTGAATTTAAAAGATACAAATGCTTCGGCATATTTAGTTCTTTGAACTTTAAATTATAATAATAATCATAGCGTGTATGATTGAATTCTCCCATAAAAACTTTTAATTGTTATGCGCAGCTCAACTAACTTAGCAAAGTGGTGTAGGGTATTATAAAGTCGGCCCCGCCCGACTTTAAGATTTTCTTTACTGGTTTTTTTTTGTTGTTGCCAATTTGGGTTTGTCTTATGGAAAACGCCATTATGCAAGTCTTTGTCTTCCGATGAGTGTCATAATCATAGGGACAAGTCTGAAGTTTTGTGATCAATTTTTGTGATACTTCGATCAATTTTATTTTTAGGCGTTTTTGTTGTGGCTTTAAAATGTAAATGTTGTAGGAACCTCCAAATTACACAAATGGTCAAAATTATATGTTATGCCAACACGAACATGAAACTTATTAATTTTCCATCATTGATGTTTTTGTTTTGTTTTCCAGGCAACAAAATTTGGTGCAGAGATGCAAAAATACGGCAGATGTTTGGTAATCGATGTAATCAATTGGAGGATAATTTAATGCATGAATGGAATTTTTTGAAGAATATTCACTTAATAGACTGCGAAAAGTAATCAACCAAATTTAATTTAGATTCAATATAGTCTGTTAATAAATTTTATAATTTTTCAGATGATGGTTGATGCTGAATACGAGGATTAATAATACAGGAAACGAAGCTGTCCACATGCCATAGATAGATGATATTTCCTATCCCCTTTTTGAGAAATCAATTATTATATTATTATCATACTTACGCATTTTTATTATAATTATGAAGATCTCCATATTTAAGATGTGAGATTGAAACTTTGCCCAAACTTCCATATTTCTGGAATAATTGATATTACATTTAGTGACAATTAAAACACTTTTTTTGTTTTTGTTTTTAAATAGGAAGTTTGTCTAAAAGTATTAATGAAGCGAATAATTTACAATAAAGATATAAATAATGTTTGAACAGAAATTTGTTGATAATTTCCAAAAGCTAATAGAGACAAGTAAATTCGATAGGGCCGATAGTTAAATACCCTTCACCATTTTTAAGGAATTTGCAAATATGATGAAAAATACTTAAAAAATATAGGAAGTTACAGTTATATTTGGGTCTATACAAAGACGTGTATTTTCATAAGCACTTTTGTCGTAGGTCATAACACAATTCAAATATGAAACTTGAAACATATTCGGGGAATAATCTCGCAAAACAATCAAAATTCTGAATATTGGGATATACCGTCACGTGGAGACTACATGAAAACGTAGACCTGTACTATTGTGAACATGGAACACCAACTAAGAAATAATTCGGTTGTAAAGTATGCCTAAAATCAAGCAAATACGCGTTGTTGGTTGGTTCCGTTATTTGGGGTCTATACGACAACTAGGACCTTCATGGGCAATTCTTCGCAAGGATGTTTGCACTCGATTTACAGAATTCCCCCGTCGAAAAATTTTGACTAAAACTACGAAAGTTTTTATATATTTTACAAGCGTAGGAAAGTATTTTGTTGAGAATTTTCCAGGAAAAAAGTTGTTCGTGATGGAATTCAAGCGTGATAGTGTGATTTCTTTACATCTGGCTGGAAAACCACAAGTGGCTATCGTTAGAGAACTCCAACATTTAAATGTGAATAAATCTTTTGTGTCTCGTACCATCGCTCGTTACCGTGATACTGGTAGCGTAGCCCGGCGTCAAGGAATTGGTGCGAAGAAAACAGCAACATCAGCAGAAATGGTTCGAAAAGTAAAGAAGCGACTTGATCGAAACCAGCGTAGAAGTGGCCAAAAATGGCTCGTGAGCTAAACATATCACAATATTGAGCTCTCGGTAAAGCCACTGAAATTCCAAAAAATGAAAGAACATACACTGCAACAGAAAGAAAATAAACTCAAAAGAGCTAAAGAGTTGCTTCGGTTGGCCGAAAGTTGTGAACTGCTGAATTTAGATGAGAGAACATTCGTTGTCCAGCAGTTTGTAAACCAACAAAATGATCGGGTTTCTGTACTTGCCAAAGAGGTCAGCTGGAAATCTGCACCTTCGGTTGGCCACCAGAACTCAAGCGCCGGCCATTGTGATGGTGTAGGCCGCCATAAAAGCCGGTAGTCGTATTAAGCGACCGCTCGTATTAATCGAGCGTGGCATCAGAATAAATGCCGAATATCTTCGCGAAAATATGCTGAGGGCTGTATTAGAGCCATGGGCACGCAAACATTTTGGCCGCAGACTTTGGACATACCAACATAACTCAGCACCATCGCACTCAGCACGGGGCACCCAAGAATGGTTATAAAATGAGGTTCCTAGCTTCATTTCCAGCGTACAATGGCCACCAAAATCTCTGGTTACCAATCCGTTAAACTATTGTGTCTGGAGTATTTTGAAAAGCAAGGTTGACACAAAAAAATACCAAAGTGTCGATCACCTCAAGCAAGCGCTTCGCTGGAAATGGGCCAAAATACCACAGAGCAACATTCGGGCAGCGTGTGATTTCATTGGCCGTTTGAAGGCCATAATTCGTGCCAAAGGTGACCAATTCGAACAAATCTTTATCTTCATCTTTATCTTCATTTATTGCTTGCATTCAAAAAAAAGATATTGCTGCTATATATATCTTCGTCTGATTTGCCTTTTATTGCGCACCAATTATATAATAATGGATATAGCTCCATATACCTTTACTCGGTTTGAAGTTTACCAAATGGTTAATATAGGTCGGAATTGAATGGATTTTGGCATACAAAGTTACTCAGCCTGGACGAAAGTGAGGAAATGAAAGTGGTGAAAGTGGTCCCATACATATGTTTCATCCGATTCCATATTTGAGTCCCTCACATCCATAAAATATACTCCACAACACAGATATTTTGTCCCAACTATCAGATACAGCATAGAAATACATCTGTTATAATTTATAGAGATCAGTTCAGATTCCGATATAGCTGCCATACATATCTTCATCCGATTTCATTTTGCCAACAAATGATAATATCAGTTCAAATAAGTAGGATTTTTATGAATATCGGTTTAGTCCGTCAAATTTATAGGAGTCCGATAAAGAGGAGGTTATACTTCCAAATATTAGTTCCTTTAGCTTATAAAAAACGATCATAAATTATGCATAAAAAAGTTATTTGTTATGTTTGTTATACTTAACATACAAATTGGTGTAGGGTATCATAAAGTCGTCCCGCCCGACTTTGAGTCTTTCTTTACTGGTTTTAATTCGAAAAATACCAAGTTTCCCTTCAATCATAAATACCTGAAATTGGAACTTCTGACCTCCACATTGACGCTGATTTGAATTTTGGAACAGTGTTTAGTGAAAACTTTAGAACGATAGTCCATGTTGATTTGTAATCACGCTACAGGTCGCAATTATGGGCCGATCCTCACGAAATTGAAAATGTAGGTGGGGTTGGGGTCAGAATAGAAGCATACTGTTTTTGGAGATGATCGCAAAATATTTAGGGGTTGAAGTGGATCAAAACATTTTTCTGATTTTGCATCTGTAAAAGGAACCACAGCAACTAGTGTGTAAATATTGACCAAATGCCTCTGTTCCGATTTCATATTTGAGTCCCTCACATCCATAAAATATACTCCACAACACAGATATTTTGTCCCAACTAGCAGATACAGCATAGAAATACATCTGTTATAATTTATAGAGATCAGTTCAGATTCCGATATAACTGCCATACATATCTTCATCCGATTTCATTTTGCCAACAAATGATAATATCAGTTCAAATAAGTAGGATTTTTATGAATATCGGTGTAGTCCGTCAAATTTATAGGAGTCCGATAAGGAGGAGGTTATACTTCCAAATATTAGTTCCTTTAGCTTATAAAAACGATCATAAATTATGCATAAAAAAGTTATTTGTTATGTTTGTTATACTTAACATACAAATTGTTGTAGGGTATCATAAAGTCGTCCCGTCCGACTTTGAGTCTTTCATTACTGGTTTTAATTCGAAAAATATCAAGTTTTCCCTTCAATCATAAATACCTGAAATTGGAACTTTTGACCTCCACATTGACGTTGATTTGAATTTTGAGGTGTATATTTTGTAATATTTTTTCCACTTACAACACAGGTTGGGGTTATTATAAACAGATTGCAATTATGGTCCGATCCTCACGAACATTTTCATAAGGGTAGGGTTAGATTCAAAAGTGCTAGGCCTATTGTTTTCAAAGATGTCCGCAGTATATTTAGGGGTTAAAATGGACCAACAACTAAAAATGTTCCTGATTTTTCAGTCGTTATAAAGGTCACAAATAGAAACTAATGGAGACGAAATTACGCATGAAGTTAGAGTTAAGGACAGCGGGTAGGGTGGACCATTACTTTTGTGTGGAAAATTACCAACATTACTTATAGGCGATATCCGAAACACACATAAGGTGAACTTCTGGCTTTTTTTATTGATTTCGTTGGCGAATATGGCCAAATATCGTAGATATGCATATCATATAGATGAGTCTAAATTTGGAGATACAGAGGGGCCTCTTACTTTCGCAAAATATTTAGGGCTTCAAATGAACCAAAAGCAGAAAAAATTCCTGATTACACAATTGAAGCCAATCGACACGTCTGAGAAGAGAGCTGAGGACAGAGAAGAAGTGAAGCCTTTTGGATTACCATTGGAGTATATTTAGCTGTAAAATGGACCACACAACTAAAAGCACGACGGTGTGCGTAAATATTAGGCAAATGTCCCTAGTGACATAATTTCAAAAGCGAAATCTTTCAAAATGGATTTGGACATAAGGGGGCTTCTAACATATTGTATTGTTGTAGGATATCACATGGTCGGCCCCGCACGGCTATAGCCTGTACTTACTTGTTTAAGCTAATTATGTTGACGAATAGTAGACAAGCAAACATATGGATGATTCTAAATTTGGAGATACAGAGAACAGAAAAAATTTCCAGATCACACAATTGAAACCAATCGACACGGATTTTTGGCTGAGAAGAGAGTTAAGGACAGGGAAAAGGAACCACAGCTGTAAAAGGAACCACAGCAACTAGTGGGTAAATATTGACCAAATGCCTCTGTTCCAAAAGCTAAGGGTAATATCTGGACAAAGCTCTATGAAATAATTTCTAAAGTGAAATCTTCCAAAATGGATTTGGACATAAGGGAGCTTCTAACATATTATAGTGTTGTAGGGTATCACAACTCTTAATTTTTTCTATCAAGATTGAATTAACTTTGTATGTAGTTCAACACACCCTTGTCAATGCAAACAACATGTTGTTCGTGTAATTTTTAATTGTGACACGAAAGTCAAGTAGAGGGAAAAACGACAAAATCGACAATTGACCACTAAAGTGCAACACATCATGAATTTCATTACATGGACCTCAATTTACCTCTTTTGCAAAGGCACTTTAAATAATTAATGACAAATAAAAGTCTGCGAACAAGAGAATGAAGACCGTTCGACAATAAACTGACCACATTTTCTGAAGCAGCATCAGTCGTTGACGTATAGAGTAGGACAATGGTGCAAACTTTTGATGGAGCGATATCTGGAAGAACACGTATTTGTGTGTCATCTTTCTGTCATGCAACTACTGTGCCCCTTGGGCTTCACCTGATTGATGTCTTGCATGGCTGCAAGATGAAAAAATCCGCATCCCTATGTTTTGGGAAGGCGACATCAACGGAGCAATTTATGAAATGACTTTACAATGATATAATTGCAATATAATTATCATAAGTGTAGTCGAAGTTTATCTTAATTTATTAATGAGACTTAATCAGATGCAATATCCTGTTTGCCGTGCAACTTGAAGTACAGACTTGCATGACGTGTTTAGGTATGGAAAAATTTTAAATTTTAATGTTTAAGCTCCTGGGCGAACAAGAACAGTAATGGAGTGAGGTTGTATAAAGCATTATATATGGATATGGAAAATTATAATAGAACAAACATAATATGTATTA